CTGCCTGACCTTCCTCCTGGTCTGGGAGTCCCTTTAAAAGTGCTGTGCAGTCTTTCTAGACAACTACTTCTCTTGGGAGTGGGGCAATGAGTGGGGTGCACGGTTCTTGCCAGTTTGGCCTGCCTCCTTAACCTCCTTGGAAGTCTGGTATATAAATTTTCTCTATCGAAACGAATATGTGTATATATTACTTATTAATTTCTACTCCCAAGACATGAGGCTGAAATTTCCTCACTCTATTACTGATACTCGATATCCATTTCATTATTTTTTTTTTTACCAGTCTAAAGGGTAAATAATTTGTATCTTGTTAGCTTTATGTACATTTTTTGATACCTAGTAAGGCTGAGCATCTCTTTAACTAATTCACTATCTGTTTTTTTCTTTTTCTGTGAATTGTATCCTTAGAACCTGTGCTCATATTTCCATTGGGTTGTTTTCTTTTCTCACATAAATATTGAAATAAGAACTCTTTATAGATTTCAATTATTAGGACATTGCCTATTGTACCTACTGGAAATATATACATTTTTCCTTTCTGCCATTTAATTCTTGTTACAGAGTCTTTTCTTGAATAGAAGTTTTAAACTTTTAAATAGTTTTGGTGGTCTTTCCTTCTATGTTTCTTGGCTTATTTTCAATATTCTTGCTAACCTCAGGGTGATGATAAAAGTTATACTATATTTAGTGCTACTAATGTTATGGTTTTAGGGTTTATATCTTTAATTCACCTGGAATATATTTATTTGTTCACATTTCTATGCTGTAAAATAAGAATAACTTTTTCCCTAGATGTTTAGCCAGTGGACTCAGTGATTTTTACGGAGTAGTCAGTCCTTGCCCCTGATTTGAAAAGTCCTCTAGGTCATGTATTAAATTCTTATATGTGTGTATGTGTGAGTTTATATGTGTACATCTGTTTCTGTACTTTCCGTTTTACCCATTAACTTCACAGGATTTCCCTGGAACTAGAGGAGAAATGGAAATCACACAGCGATCCTGAGAAGATGGAAAAAGACAGGAGTGGGGAGAGGCGAGATGTTTTAGCGTGGATATTTAAATTATAAAATATATACACATATATATGTTGAACTATGTGAACATGTTACAAATTCAGAAGTTAAACTAAAAATACAAACTGCACAGTCAGTTAAAATTTTGATGTTGCTTTGGTTATTTTTTTTCTGTTTCCCCAGTATTTATTTTTATTTTAAATTTCTAATTGATTACTTTAAAATTATTTCTTTAATGCTGTGTAAGGGGGAGGGTGTGGGCATGCCATATTGTGTAGTTCTACATTACCTTTGAAAGTAGAAAATTAAATGAAATATATATTTTCAAAAGTCATTGGTTAGATTTCTGATACTTCATCCATTAATAACTCACTAACTTTGAAGGAATGGGATATTTTTGTAGTAGTTTGCCTGGCATAGTTGAGAAAAAATGTTGCTGAAATTCTTCACTATGGGATTGGGTTGCAAAAATGCTCTGTTTCATTTGCACATTGCCTCAAGGGAATTAATATTTGACTGTATGAAGTCTGACCCAGCCCACATGGACCATCTGGGAGAGGAGCTTCACTAGTCAGTCACTCAGTGACTGAAATGTGAAAAAAGACTGAGAGCCAAGGATTGCCTTCCTCTGAGTCTTTTACATGGATGTGACCCAGACTGACAAATTATTACATTTTTGCAGTGGATTCTGGGATTATCAATAAGAGTGGGTTTCCTAGTTTCAGAATCACCTTTGCGTTCAACCTGTAGCTTGTAATATTCCACTTTATGTTTTGTATTTAAAATAAATTTTGAGAATGAAAAATTGTATAGCTATTATGTTACAAGTTCACACCACTTATCTATAATGCTGCCTGTCATATAGTAAATATTAGTTTTAGATAAGTAGACGATCTGTATTGTGACTCTTCAGAAAAAATATCACTTGTCAAACCAAAAGTTACTTTTCCACCCTGGTAAAATTGAACTAGAAAGTGCAATTTGGAGAAGAATTTTAAAAGAGAAAAAAAGGATGTTAATACCAAAAAGAGAAGGAATTTCTGTAAAAATTTAAGAAAGAATTAACATAATTATTTATTTCAAATATTCTTCACTTCAGTGATGGGCATCCTCTCTCTGCCTACGAGTATGTAGGTGTGACTCCTGAAATTCTTTTTGTCATATTTGTCCAACTAAGAGTCTGCAAATTTTAGGCTGTAACTCTTTATGGCTGGTTACATATTTATAGAAATCATCTCTCTCTCTCTCTACTTCATTTAACCAATATCTAGCTGTTCTGTTGATAAGGGACACAGCAGACAATAGTCTATTATATAGAGCAGGAGCATGTCCCAGATAGCTCCCTCAACATTTATGTGGTATCCATTTAGCTGTAGAACTACTAAAAGTTTGACATAATGTTTTGATATTGTCACCAATCCTTTTCCACATTAGTTTTTGTTTGTTTGCTTGCTTCCCTATACTAAACTATTTCCTAGAACCGTAGGTGACTTTTTGCTCCACTCCTTACCCTAGTTGGGCCTCTCCTCCCAGGAAATGAGAAGAGCAGTCTACTTCCTAGAGGGCACTCTGAGAGCTCTTCTGCCTTTTCCCAGTCCCAGGCAGTGATGTGGAGGCGTGGACAAGGTGGAGCGAACGTGCTGCTGTATGATTTAGTACTCAAATGACTGGTCAATCATTATGGGAGAACCTGGGTATTAGTAGGATCCAGATAACCTCTTAAGTGTGCAGGCTCGTGGGAAGCCTTTGATACATCGCTAGAATTATTTCTGTCAGTACCTCTTGATCTGCCGAAAAACACCCTCCCAAATTCTTCCTGTCTTTTCTCCCAGTTGTGGATAACTAGACCACTTGAGATTCTACCTCTAATTACCATTTGCTTTATTTGTATATGGATTATTTACTTTTATTAGCATCAGTGGGAATCCCACTGCCAGGAGCTCTGGGAGCAGAACTTGAACAATTCTGTCTCTGTTTTGACTTTCTATTTGGGCAAACTGCAACAAAAATGGTTCTCACTTTTAGAAACGCAGCTTGCAGCAGTTCTCTCATCCTTGTTAACTGTCTCCTCGTAATTCTAGGTGAACTCCCTGCCCACAATCCTCGGAAGCCACTGGCTTCTCCCACGCTATGTATGCTGGATCCTGCCAAGGTCACTTCCTCTGGGTGTGTACCTGGCCCTGAGCGATACCGTCCCCCCAGCACCATCATTGTAGGCTACATCTCAGCCTCTTTTTCCAGAATGATTGCCGCTGCCTTCAGAGGGCTCTCCCCTTCTCTCTTTGCTTTCTTCATTCCTGCATCTTCTTAATAAATTATGTTTCCTAAAATATATTTTTTCTTTATGTCACTTTGCAAGGACTTAGATTATTCTCCGTGACTCATCAAATAAAAAACAAGTTCTGTGCATTAAGGCTTGCTGTGACTTCTGTGCTCGGCTCAGCCCAGGCTATGTAGTGCTCCCCAGCCTCTCCCCAGTCACTTATATCTTTAAGCCACCTTACATTTTATTATGATAAATCCCACTCTGCTTAAGTTTTAACCTACTCATAGCTCTTCTGTGAAATCTTCTTTAATAGTTAAATCTTCATTCCATAGCCTTTCCCATCTCAATGCTAAGAGCATTGAGAGTCTGTTTAACACATAATTTAACACTTTTATCTTCCTATGGTTATTTCGTTATCTGTTAGGAAACACACTGGTCACTTAGAAGAGACCTGAATACAGTGGCCTGAATATGACAGATCTTTATTTGTTTCTCCTGTAATGAGGTGTCAGGAGGTAGGGAGTTCACAGTTGCCACAGTGGTTCCTTGTAGCTCTCTGTTCTTCAGTCGCCTCGGTCTGGTCCACCACTTCAAGGTACAAAGTGCTGCCTTAGCTCAGGCAAGAAGAAAGAAGTGCAATACTGGTTTAAAAAGCTTTTCTGGATCAGCTGTATGTTGAAGGGTCACCATCTTCTGCAAAGGAAATGTAATCATTGAGACGTTCACATCACTGCTCCTCCAAACCTAGGGATACTCTTCATAGGGCGTAAGGGAGGACAGTTACTATGGGTCCCTCTCAGTTCACAGGATGCATGGATAACCACGAGGCTCCCCATTCACTGTAGCTGGAGGGACACAGCAAGTCTCTGCTTTGCTCTCCTGAATAGTGGGGACACAAATAAACTATAAATGTTTGAAAAATCAGGATGTACCCTTCCGTCAAGAAGACTTGTTTCCTTTCTACTTTGTCTCCTACTCTTTACTCGTTTTCCCAGAAATATGGGCAATGAGATTAAAAAAAAAATTAAACAGATACAGAAGGTAAAAGTAAATGTGAAACTTGTTTATTTAAGAAGACTGTTTTGTTCTGTTGAAGAAAACAATTGTAGAGGTATATCTGGATCTTAATGCTTAGACTACTGGGGTATAATATTCCACAAATGTCTAATAAATACTCTTCAGCATGGCACACAATTCTGGGATGGTGTAACAGGCAGATTTTTTGTTTTTTTTTTTACATCCATCTTAAACGTGCAGGCTTTGAGGGCAATCAATGCGGTGGTTGTCTAACCCAAGTAAACTGGCTTTGTATTCTCAGAATTTAAACAAAGAATATGCATGATAAATATTTGCTGTTTGTGATGCCTTTGTGGGTGGTCAGGAGGAGCTGCAACTGAAGGGTGTTTTCCTACCTTTGTCAGACACAAAGCAAGCCTCCTTTTGTCTCCTGATCACAGCTCTAATTTTCCCAGCTGGATGAATTCACCAAGTTGAGAATCCGAGCGGCCTTAACATTAGCAGAATCTACAAAGCGCCAGAAGGGCACAAAACCTGCATAGGAAACGTTCGCTCTCCAGGCCAGGCGGTGTGGTTGCCACAGCTACCAAAGCTGCTGCTTTCTCTGCTTTGTGTTCACGTGGGAAGAGAAGCTTTCAAGGTGACAGTGGCTTCATTATAGAACTGACGCTGCGTTTCGCTTGCTTTAATATTTGCATTTTTTTTTTTCGTGCTGTATGACCTTTAATTAGGTAAAAAGACTTCCAATCACGTCACCTAGGGACCATTCTACCCACTGCTCTGTTTGGCCGCCAGTCTCTTGTCTCTCTCTTCAGCAGTGGTGAGGCGGATACCCTTTCCACGGGGAAGAGAAATCCATGGTTTGTTGCCCAGTGTCAAACTTGATGAAATCAGTAATCTTTCCGGTTTCCAAATCAATCTGAATGGTGTCATTGACCTTGATGAGGGGATCAGGATAGCGGACGGTGCGAACGTCGTGAGTCACCAGATGGGGGATTCCTTTTGTCCCCACAAAGATCTTTCTCACTTTGCACAACTTGTACTTGGCCTCCTCGAGTGTAATCCGATGAACAGCAAAGCGACCCTTGGTATCATAGATCAGACGGAAATTCTCTCCGGTCTTGTCAATGCTGACGACATGCATAAAACCAGCAGGGTATGTTATATCAGTTCGGACCTTGCCATCAATCTTAATAAAACGCTGCATACAGATCTTCTTTACTTCATCTCCTGTTAGGGCATACTTAAGTCTGTTCCTTAAGAAAATGATGAGAGGAAGACACTCTCTCAGCTTATGGGGACCAGTAGATGGGCGAGGAGCGAACACACCAGTCAGTTTATCCAGCATCCAATGCTTTGGAGCTGCTACACGCTTCAGATGTTTCTTGGGACCACGAGCCATGGCTGCGCAAGGAACAAAAAGAGCTAATATTTGCATTTTAATCTCTGCTGCTTAGTCCTAAATAGGACTTTGGGAATACTGTTAGGTTGGGGGATGGGTAGACAAAGTTTTATACGGTCAAGATGACGGATCACAGAGTGAGTGAATCTGTCCTTATGATTTATTTGTTTGTTTATTTTTTAATTTAATTTTATTTTTTCAGTGTTCCAAGATTCATGTTTATGCGCCATCATGGAGCACCCAGTGCTCCATGCAATAGGTGCCCTGTCATTATGATTTTTCCCTGGACTTTGCAACCTTGCATACCACGGCTTGAACCGGTGTTAGGGAGCTAGCTGCACTGCTGCATCTGCCACAAAGAGAATATGAGCACCATTGATTCGTATACAGACACAGTATATGCACCAGTTTTAAAATAGCAATTAAGATGAAATTACAACAACCTATCCTCGGTGAAGTTGAAGTAGATATCCATGTGTAATTAACTGGAAAGTCATTCCAAAGCCTTGAAGTTCTATACTTTATTTAGTGACCTTTACTATGCATAAAATATTAATGGCAGATGAGTGGGCTTCACTTAAAAACAAATCCTATACGTAATATAATTGACCTATCACTTTGTCTAGGTGAAATTGCTCAGTGACAGATATATAAGAATGTGTTAACAGTGGGTTTGTAGTCTATCTATTTCCATTTCTTTTCATAAATATATGTTATAAATGATAAAATGGTCTCTGAAATCTTTCTGCTATCTTGTCTGCAACCTCAGTTTTGAAGAGAATGTGAGTTTTGTCCCTTCTTTTTGATGGAATGGCATTATCAACAGCAAAATACTGTGTGGTTTTTCATTTGGGTGGGAAGGAAACAATTTTTTGGAGCACCTGTTGTGTTTTTCTCTCACTTTGTATATTGTCTCATTTGATGTAATACTATTAAGTATTATTATTATGTTGTATTGTGTGTATTAAGTATGTATATATGTATTATTATTAATTTATTTTACAGATGAGGCTAAGGAGAGGATTTTTATATCCACAATCACTAAGCTGATAAAAGAGACATAGTGGTATTGCTAACAGAGACACAGTCTTTCTAATCCCAAAACCCATATTCTTTTCATGACTTGGAGAGACATACCCTGCCAAGATGACTTCAAATTTGGAGAGATGGTATGCTGTAATTTTCTTTTGTTTTAATTTTTAGTAATCATTAAGTTACCTACAAGAAATGTGACGTAAACATTGTTAAGTATAATCTATATACTGGATGCCAGGCCCCATCCCCTGTAACCATTTCTCCTATGTTACCACAAAGAACTCTAGTTTTCTTTGGGGGATCCTCTTGGGTCCAGGGAAGCCAAATTTAACTCTGGTTTCAGTGGTGTGTCATGCGACCCAGACTAAGCCAATCAGATTTCTGTTCCTCGGGTAGTATGATTAGTTCAACCACTCCGTGAGCAACCCTACTTTGTCTAATCAATGTGAGTCCGGACTTACTTTGGAATGCTGGGGCAAAGGTAGTTCTGTTCAGTGAATTAACATATGGTTGTATTTCCCAGCTGCATTGACTTCAGACTAGGGCATGCAACTTCCTTAACCATAACTGTGGTTAATGACATATAAGAAGTGGTGTGTGCTACATAGTTGGAGTTGGAGTTTTGAAAGCCCACATAGTGTTTCCTCTATCTGCCCTCCCCCACCATAATACTGTTAATGTCCCACAGGGGGTCTGCTCTAGCAGCCTGGGTCCTGGAATAAGGACTATGTGAAACAGAGCCACAGTTGACCTACAATGGAAATGTGGAGTGAATGAAAAATAATTTTGGGGGGTGCCTGAGTGACTCAGTTGAGCATCTGACTCTTGATTTCGGCTCAGGTCATAATCTCAGGTTCCTGGGATCAAGCCCCATGCGAGCTTCCAGCTCAGTGAGGAATCTGCTTAAGTATTCTCTCTCCCTCTGCCTCTCCCTTTGTGCATGTCCCCTCCCCCCTGCAAATAAATAAATCTTAAAAAAAAAAAAAATAATAACTTTTTGTTTAGTTAAGCCATTGAAATGTGGGAAGGTTTTTTTGTTTGTTTTTTGTTTTTTGTTTTTGTTTTTTTCTGCCACATAATTTAGTGTAATGGTAGGGTGTGGAGGTGAGCCTCGGAAGAGGGCAGCCATTTTTGCCTCCTGAAGTCAGGCTAATGGGAAAGCTGGCATAAGAAGGAAGCAGAGTTAGGGAAATCATAGAGAAAGACAGAAGGAATTCTAATGATGTCACAAACCCTTAGCTCGTGGCTGTAGTCATCCCAATAGCTGAAATTTCTATTTAAGTGAATTGATATCATTTTTTTAAGATTTGTTTTTATTTATTTGAAATAGAGATCACAAGCACAACACACAAGGGAGGGGCAGAGGGAGAGGGAAAAGCAGACTCCCTACTGAGCAAGGAGCCCCATGCAGGGCTTGGTCCCAGGACCCCAAGATCATGACCTGAGCCAAAGGCAGACACTTAACCAGCTGAGCCAGCCAGGTGCTCCTAAGTGAATCATTATATTTGCTTAAGGTAATTTTATTTCAGTTTTCCGTTAGTTGCAACCAAAGCAAACAAATTACTTTATGTATCATACAGTAAGTCCCACATCATTTTCCTACAACAGACATCTGGAATAACCTTGAAGCCAACCCAGGTAATTTAAATCGTAAGGTCCTCAGAGTCACTATCCAGATCATTGGTGACAAAGAAAGGAAGCCACTGAGTAGGCAAGTTTAATATAAAAGTAGGTGGATGCCAAATAAGAACTATGTAAGATTACCATACTAGGAATGAGATTCAAATGATTTCTTCAAGAGTAAGTGAAGAATTTACACTTTTCAAAACAATGTCTATTTACAAATGTATAAACAAAGATTTCTGAAGAGAAGTGTTGCCGGGAGGCACAAGGAGTCATGGAGTGATGTCGTGAAAGACTCCTCTCATGTTATAATGAAGGGTCTCAAACACTGGAGTTTTTCCGCTGATTAATCATTGAAGGGGGCGCCTGGGTGACTCAGTTGGTTAAGCATCTGCCTTCGGCTCAGGTCATGATTCCAGGGTCCTGTGATCGAGGTTCCTGGGATTGAGCCCCACATCAGACTCCCTACTCAACAGGGAACCTGCTTCTCCTTATCCTCCTCGCTTGTGCTCTCACTATCTTTGTCACTATCTCTATCTGTCTCTCTCAAATAAATAAAATATTTTAAAAAGTCATTGAAGTTTTTTCATTTAAAAAAATGGAAATTATGCGAACTATGACAAATAGGGTATAGATAACAAAAAATGGAACCTGTAACACTTGCAGAATTGTGAGATTCCCTTAGAAGAGTTAGCACATTGTTCTCAAATGCTGCTACTCAAGAAGGGAGAGGAAGCTTCCCACTGAGTTTCCTGAAATGGCAGAATGGACTTCAAATTGAGCTTCATCATGGCCAATTTTTCTATTCCAGCAGAGGTAGTGACTTACTAAGGTTAGAACGCTTTCCTTCTTTGAAACAGTCATCAGCTTATAAATTTTCTGCGTCTATCCCCAAAATGTGAGTAGACATTTGAAAGCAGGGAACTAAAACCATAAAGTAAATAGTAATATTCTTAGTTAAGGATAATGTGCTAGGAAAACAATCACCACAAAATTTTAAAATATAATACCTTTGAATAGTCTCTGTACACTGAAGTTTGTATTTAATTTTTCATTTTGTTTCATTTATTTATTTAAAAAATTGAATAGGTAATACTCTTACATGATTAATACACAATGCAAAGTCGTATATAGTAAAAAGTTTAGCTCACCCCTCTGCTCTCATCAGCTCCATTTTTCTCTGTCACCAGCAGGTCACCGTATTATTAATTACTGGGTTTTCTTCCAGAATTTCTTTATGCAAGCCAAGGAAATGCAGATATGTATTGTTATTTCCCCTCTTTCCTCCATAAAATGTAGCACAGTATAGATTGTTCTGTATATTGCTATTTTCACCCACAGATACCTCTTGGAGATCTTTCTTTACCGGTACTTCAAGGGCTTTGCCTTTTTTCTTACATTTTCATAGTCTGTTCTTGTGGCATGTATGTGCAGTAATCTGTTTAACCAGTTCCCTAATGATGGAAAGCTGGAATACTTCCAGTTTTTACTAATACACATGGTGCTTTTGATAAATAACCTTTACATATGTTGCTTCATACATGTTCATTACTTATTTTCAGAGAATGAAAATAGAGCCAAGTCCTAAAATAGAGTCATCCTCAATTTTGGCAAGCTTCTAAATCTGAGAGCTTAATTGGATTTTTTTTTTTTTTTTGCTACCTAAAGTTACTAATTTAGTTTTTCACTTTCCAGCTCATTTAGCCAAGAAAAGTGGCTTTCATTTGTAAATAAATACAAGCTACCTAGATATTTGGAAGGAAGGGCCCATATGTCATATATAGTCATAGAGCTATCCTAGGACCTCTGCAGAAATGTTGCTTACCCCCCAAAAGTGGTAGAAGTGGTAGAAGCCACTAAATAACACATCAGAGCCCTGAAAAATCTTAGCTTCCTTTTATCTTGCATATTTAATTCTTAGGATTTGTCCTTCAAATTGATTCTCACAAGTATCCCCTTCCTTTGTATTCCTTTTCACACCAGGTACATTCTCCAAAAATGGTTGCTCTGCGCCAGTGCTCTTTTTATTTCCACCTGTGTGCATTCTGTTGCGGATGTATCATTTTAAAATATTCCACTTGTTATATAATACCCATGTCAATTATTTTTTGTTGTTGCTGTTGTTTTCTCAAGGAATTCTTCGGATAATTACTTTAATGGACTTTGGTTTTTGAGGATTTATTATCCCCCCCTCCCAGCCCTCCTCCCAAGCACCCAATAGTAAATTCAACACATGGGTAAGATTTTGTGGGGTTTTTGTTTGTTTGTTTGTTTCCTTTCTTTCTTTCTTAATCACAAGCTGTTGGAATATTAAGTCAACATTTTAAATTAGTATGTTTTTATAGGTTAGTATCTCTACA